TCAAAACATCATAACAGAAGAAAATTTACGGATGAGAGGGGTATTTATATAATACTTGTTTCTAAGCTCAAATAAGTCAAAAGTAAAATTAATCAAAACTTGGTGCTTTATATTTTTAGAAACATTTAAAAAAAAAATATTCATCAATAATTAGATGAAATAACATGGTTTTCCTTAGTTTTTTATGCATTATAATTGAATATTATAATTGACATGACTATATTATTTCACTAAAGAATGTTCATACATCTAAAACTCGCGTGTGATATTCAAGATTAATTGAAATTTGGGAAAAAAATATTTGCAATTACTAAATTTAGATTAATAAATTTTTTAAAAAGTATTTATATTTTAGGAAAATGAGTCAAAAGAGACTGAGAAAATAATTGAAGATAGGAGAATTAAAAAAGGGAATCAGATATCCATTTATTTTAATTTTATTTTAGGAAGAGGAACAAATATGGAATGGAATGAGTGGGCTCTTAGGCCCCGTTTCGTTCAACTTGTTTTTTCTACTTTTTCATATTCTTATTAAAATCAAACCAAATCAGATCAGATCAGATCTCATCAGATTAGATCAAATCAGATCCAATTAAATCAGATCAGATCGGATCACATCCAATCAATCATTTTTATTATTATTATTATTATATTATTATTATTATTAGGAATTTGTATTATTATTATTATCATCATTATCGTTATTACTCCATACTTTTTACTTGTTTCACTTCATACAATTCTTTCAAAAATAAATTTAATTTCTCTTGAGAAAATCAAAGAAGAAAGAAAATGAAACTTTTGTGCGACTATAATTTATGTAGAGAAAAATAAAATCATATGAAGCACATTTTTTTCTTAAAACTGAAAAAGAATAAACTTTAGAAACAAGCTAAATAGAAAACTGAGAAAGTAATTTTTAATTATTAAATGTAAGAAAAATTATTTTTAAAATACATTTACAATGTCAATCTAATTCTACATTTAAAATACATTTTTATTTCTAAAGTTCTAATGTATATATGAACTAATTATTGAAATATGAAATCAATATTCTTATTTCATAAAAAACAATCATAAAATAAAAAATATTGTTCCATTATAATATTTGTAATATGAATGATTATTATAATATATGAATTAACTAATTTTATTTCATTAAAAAATAATCATAAAATAAAAAATATTGATTATACTATAATATGAATTATCATTACAATTTTCAAAAGTTATTATAAAGTGAGATCAAATTATTGATATGAATCTAAATCAAATCATAATTAATTAGACCAGATCGGATCAGATCAAATTCAATCAGATCAGATCATAAATACAAAAAATAAGATCATATTTAGAAAAAATAAGTTGGAAGGAACGGAGCCTTAGTGACCCTCCAGTCGGTCTAAAAGAATTAAGTACTCAAAACCTCGATTTTGACCGTGTGGGTCCCATAGGCGTGAAAAAAATTAAAATATTTGTAAAAATTAAACACATCGTTAAATTCTATTTATTTTTCCGAGCTCAAAAAGGCAATCGGTTTCGTAACAGGATTTATACCCAACTCTATTTACTTTTTTATTGTGTTCAAATTTGCACACATTTTTCGAACTTGATTAAAGATAGGAAAAGATTAAATTAGAAGTAAAACATATGTAGAGAATGTACCAAAATAAGAATTTAATGTCTTTTATATTCTATGTAACTAGTATCACACCCGTGCGTTGCACAAGTCATACTTATGTTACTAAATTAAGAGGGGTGTATTCCATTGAAAATTTGTAGGGTTTTTTAAGACTTTCAAAATCAGGAGGTATTCGATCTGTATTTTTAAAAGGCTTCTAAAATTTTGAGTTATCCAATCTAGATTTTCTGAAGTCTTTAAAAATAATGAGGTATTGAATAAAGATTGTAAAAACTCTTAAAAAAATCTTTAGCTATTCCATAATGGATGAGTTTTAAAACTTCATGGACTTTGTTGGATTCTTTTCCAAAATATGCCTACCTAAAATCCCTTCTCACAAGGTCGAATTTCTAATTTTCAACTAAAAAAAATTTAGAGCTTCTGAACCCAGAGAGATAAATTATTTACAACTCCGGGAATAGTTCCGACCAAGAGGAGGCCAAGATGGGAGACGTTCATTCGGGGATAAATTAGATGTTTAACAAATCCAGATTTCACTACGAGTGGTGGTTGGGTCATTTTGAAGGTTTTGTACAAGTTATTATATTTTCTTGCTCGTGTTTGGGTATTCATGAATGGGGTAATTTTGTGGGCTCTCTGACTGGAAGTCTTGAACCGCGATGGATGGGGACAGGGACAGGGTAAAGTGGTAAACGAGTTCTAGAAGGAGCCTCATGGGTTAGGGTATGAGCTTGTCAAGAATCCACTTCAAGAAAAAAAAAGAGTCAGGTCAAGTCTATGAAAATTCATATAAATCAATAAAAAAATTAGCCAAACTCTGCAAGGAATACATGAATTTTCTAAATCTGCCAACTTTTTAAAATCTAAAAAAGTCTTTAAGAATCTCAATTGAATACACCTCTCTAAGATCATTTTTGAATGATGGAAAATGATATCTAATAAAATATTGAGATTTTATTATTTTAAAGTATAAAAGTTTTTTGCTATACTAATTTTGAAAGACTTCTTTATAAACTACATTATCCGTACAGTTTGTGGCAACATTGTCTTCGTTGCATATCATAATCTTCAAGCTACTACAATTTGTTATTCTTGGAACTGCGACATACAGTTGTAAAATTGTTTGCAGTTGACCTTATTTATACTATGAAAAGTTTGTTGCTTATTCTAACTTCCTTTTTAGATTTTTTTTAATTACAATGTGTATAAGGAAATGTTTTTCTTTATTATATTCTATTCCTTATTGCGGTTAATTTTTCCAACATTTAGTAACTGTATTTATACACACGTTACACCTTAATTTATAAATATATATTACGTTTTTGGGAAGCGAGGTTGAGGAGGTTTGGTCATGTGAGGCGGCGGAATGCTGATGCCCCTGTACGGAGATGTGAGAGGATTACGGTTGTCGGGAGAAGTAGGGGAAGGGGTAGACCTAAGAAGAATTGGAAGGAGGTGATTAGGCAGGGTTTAGGACTTCTCACCCTGACTGAAGATATGGCTTTAGATAGGAACCTTTGGAGAACTAGGTTTAGAGTAGCTGGATAGGTGCTTCAGGGGTTTTTCGTAGTGTGTTTTGTTTGGTTGAAAATTTTTGCTATTGCTTGCAGGACTTTCATTCTATTGTACTTGGTGCTTTATCTGTGTTATACTGTGATTCTTATCATATTTTTTGTGAAGTTGGAGGCGGGGGTCTCTTGAAAACAGCCTCTATACTTTCGAGTAGGGGCAAGATCTGCGTATACACACCATCCGCAGACCCTACTGTAGTAAGATTAAACTGGTTTGTTGTTGTTGTATATTACGTTTTTGGTGTTACTTACCATGTCAACATTTTAATTTATTGCACACCTTTTTGGTTTTACTTACTAATTCAAAATTTTATTTTACTACACACGTAATAAAATAAGGAAATCATTTTATTTATTCCATTAGTACTTATAGTGTACTTATTATTCATTCTTACCAAAACCGTAAATAAGGTAATTATTATATTTAAAATCATTTTATTTATTATATATGATTTTGGTGTTACTTACCATTTCAATGTTTTAATTGATTGCTCACCTTTTTGGTTTTACCTACCATTTCAAAATTTTATTTTATTACACACGTAATAAAATAAGGAAATCATTTTATTTATTTCATAGGTACTTACAATGTATTTATTATTCATTCTTACCAAAACCGTAAATAAGGTAATTATTTTATTTAAAATCATTTTATTTAAAATACATATGAAGTTAAAATGAAACATGGTACCTTTTTAATTAATTTTTATAACATCGTATCTTAAATTTAATATACCTTAAATTACATTTTATACACATGTTACATCTTACTTTGTAAATATATATTAGTTACGTCTTTTGTGTTACTTACCATTTCTGTATATATACCTTAAGTTATACACAAATTTTTGGTGTTACTTACCATTTCTGTATTTTTTAATCTTAATATATAATTATAAATTATGTTTTTGGTATTTTTTGGCATTACTTACCATTTCAACATTTTAATTTATTACACACCTTTTTGGTTTTACTTACCATTTCTGCGTTTTTAATTACATCTTAATTTATAAAAATAAATTAGGTTCTTGGTGTTTCTTACAAATTCAACATTGTAATTTATTACACATCTTTTTGTTGTTACCTACCATTTCAACATTTTATTTTATTGCACACGTTACATCTTAATTAATCAGTTTCGCATGTGTTTAATTTATTACACACGGTACCGTGTTAAATCAAAAAAATTAATTACATTTTAATGGAGAATTGACATTAAACACTTACCTATTCAAGTTTAGCAATTACCATTTGTGAGTGAAGACCATTTAGGCGGGAAAACAAAATGGGATTTCCTCTCTTTTTAAATAAAGTATAGATAATAGAAGTACAATGTCAATAATGCCAGTATACCGTATCAAAAAATATAGTAAGATGTCACTATACAGTGTCATAATATTAAAATGCAAACTCCTATTTTGGATATAAATATTATCTTGGCATGCTGAGTTTTTTAATTAAAAAAAGCAAAGTTCAACATGTATTTTTTATATAAATTATTTTATTTAAAATATAAAGAAAAAAATGCTTATTGTATAATGGCTAAAACTAGATAAAATGTATGAATCAACATGCCAAGACAGCATACTATGTCATCTAGAGTAAAATTAAACGTCATTACTAAGAATTCATAACATTAGATAAGAGAAAAAGTGAATAGAAAAACGTGTTTGAACAAAAAAGAATACTAAAAAGACTAAACAACTTCAATTTTAAATATAGAGACTAATTTGAACATTTTTAGACATGTACTTAGTCGTCAAATCAAATATACACGAACACAACACTCGAATCCAATAAATTGATTTTGATATGTTTAGAATTCATTGGGAGCTTACAAATAAAATGAAGATTTTCATTGGGAATGCTCAAGGGAACCATGACACACCGAGGCCCTTTTATTTAGGGAAACCCCGCATTTGACATCAACTTACAACACGGACTGACAGTAACTGTTTGTGCGGTGAACTGTCAGACAATATGGTGTCAAATGTGAGATTCCCACACTTTTCATAATTTGAATACAATAATGCGGGAAAGTTTGTATATGTGTGAGCATGTGACACACGCATAGGAGAACGGATCATCTGTCTCAAAGATGTTATCACACCTTCATGTCCTACTCTTATCACATTGCACAACAATGGAGCCAAACCATATTTCTGTGTTGCACGGCAGCATCTAAAGAGTGGGACATGAGGTTTAGATAACATATTTGTTGGGATATCCTAGACCACTTAATCAACAGGAACTGGTTGCATTGCCTCAGCTTCTTTCCTAAGGTTTTCATAAAGGACAGACGACAAGTACCGCTCCCCAAAGCTTGGATGCACTGTCTGAGATACAAAAGAGAGAATGTTTGATAGATGAATGTAGGAAGGGAATCATTGAGGACGATGTGTTTCTTTTTCTTTTTGTTCATTGTACTTACCACGATGAGTTTTCCTTTGTTTTCGGGTCTGTTGGCTAGAGCTAATGCAGCGACCGTGTTAGCTCCGGATGATATTCCGACCTGCGCAGTTGAATTAGGCATTCATAATGTGACATTTCAAACAAGACTGCGGTTGTTTTGAATGGCTTGGTCCATTGGGCTGGGGATCGGATCCTACCCGAACTCCCTTAGAATTTGCTGAAAAACTAAGGGGGTATTTTTGTGAAATGTCGGGAGGAGGTAGGGTAGGGGTAAAGGGTGGGGTTTATAGAGTGGGTTAGGGAAGTAAGACCGGGTCTCAGGCCCAATGGAATGCCGTACGACTCCCAAATGGCCCGGTGTCATCATATGACACCAACAATTTGGAGGTATTACGATACTCTGTTGGGCCCGGCCCGAGATTGGTCTTACCCCTATAGCATTTTGACGAAATGTTAGGGGAGGGCTAGGTGGAGGCAATAAGATTGGGTTTATAGGGTGGATTAGGGGGGGTAGGACCAACGGATCGTTGGACTCCTAAATGGTTCAATGTCATATTATAACACCGAAGACCGATGTAAAAAAACAGCCTCATCAAACAATGCAATGAATTGCAACCATTTTGTTTCATTTCACCATTAAATTAACTACATAGAGCCCCAAAATACCATGAGTCCTTCCTTAAGTGCCAACTGTCTGGCCATGTTCACTGCTTCTTCGCTAGAAACCTGCACGACGCATAACACATATGTTCTCTTTAGCCGTCTTGAGTAGCCCATAATCAAAATAAGGAGTAAACCAGCACAATGTAGCCTCCTAGTCGTTCTTAGGGTCCATTCTTTTCAAGTGAAATTTATTGAATATAAATGAAAGTATTGCAAAGTGTTGAACGAAATTGAAAATAAGTTGAAAAAGAACATGCCGTTAATTATGAAAATGTTGTAACTAAACTAAATATGTCAGTGTTAAGATTCCATTTTGGATTTCAAACCGTAACACGAAGGGAAAAAAATTGGAAGTTTACTACCATGAGAACTTCTTCCATTACATCCATGTCAAGGATGTCAGGCTTGAAACCAACACCATTTCCAGTAATATGATGGGGACCTGAAACAGAACTAGTTGACATGACTTAATGAATTTAGGATTGGGTAGAAGTCACTCAACCGGATCATAAGAAACTCAAATCATATCAAAATAAAAGATCGAATCCAAATGATCATCTACTTCAAATCAAAGCCTTATTTAATTGGCTTATTATGCTTTCTTGAAGTTTTTGATGAGGGATACATTAAAAGCAACTTTCCAAAAAAATATGATAAGGTTTACATAATCCACCTGGTTTGCCACCATTTAGTACATTGCTTTCAGCTGGCTCCATTCCATAAATCTATTTTTTTGCAACAAAAAAAAACAGAAAAAGAAAAAAAACAGTTTAAGGTATGAATATGAACATCCACAAAGCAATACGGATAGGGAGCTGGTACCTTAACATTGGGGTTTTGAGATTTAAGGTATTGTCCAACACCAGAGACTGTGCCACCACTTCCAATTCCCATAACAAAAATGTCCACATTTCCCTGAGTATCTTCCCATATTTCAGGACCCGTTGTCTCAAAGTGTATCTGATTCCAGTACCAATCCATTCAAACATCAGTTTTTTTAATGTAGAACTAGAAAGAATTGTGAGAGAGAGAGAGAGAATACTTGGGAATTTGCAGGATTAGAGAACTGTTGAAGCATAAAAGCATCAGGTGTGGAATCCAGAAGCTGATAAGCTTTCTTCACAGTTCCACCCATTCCTTTGGTTGGGTCTGTAAGGACTAAATCAGCCCCAAATGCTTTCATAGTCACCCTTCTCTCAATGCTTGTATATGAGGGCATTGTCAACACCATTTTGTACCCCTTCATCGCCGCCATGAATGCCATGCTGATCCCCATATTCCCGGATGTCGGCTCAATCAACGTTGTCTACAAGGGAGCACGACAAAGCCTTATATGTAAGTAGTTCATATTCATATGCTCCCTCCATCCCAAAATTGATACCACTGTCACTATTGCGGCCTCACGATAACTTTTGTATAGAATTTTTTTTATTTACTTTTGAACGGTATAATTTATTGTTTTTATTTCTATACCAATTTGTAATTAAAATGATTTTAAAAGTGATGGAATTTTGCATGTTCTTACCTTACCAGGTGCGATCAAACCTTTCCTTTCTGCATCAGCAATCATTGCCATTGCGGGTCTGGTAGCAAAAGCTCAAGCTTATGGTTGTAGGCTCATGAAAAGATGTATACTCTCAAAGAACTGAAGCCAAAAGGAATAATGGGCACAATACCGATCCTTGATGCTTGCCGTAGGTTGCATCATCTCTTGTTTTACAGCTACATAAGCACCACACCCTTCTGTAACTTTGTTGAGGTAAACAAGAGGTGTCCTCCCAATCAGCTGGCACATGAAATATATAACATTCATTTTATGGCAGACAATTGATGTTAGAAGTTCAATATTATACCCCCTTTTTAATCTTTCTCGTTACTATCCACACGATCGAATTATATAGAGTCACATTATTTTTATTTATTCTAATTCTACATCAATATTTAAATAAATTGAATTAAGGAGAATTTTAGTCAAATAATCTGAAATTCTTAAAAAAACTCATTTTTATGAAATAAATTTAACCAAACAAGTGAATGAGTTACTCATCCATATCAACTCATATCGTATCTCTAGGATGTTTAATCATAATTTATTTATTGAATATAGAAATTGGACAACTAATTCTCAAACAAAAACAACAACAACATTACTCCAGTGCCTCAAAGGATCCCGCCCAATGCAGGTAAGGGCGGGGTTGGGTGTACTGACTCCTATGTTTAAAACATAGAGCGGCTGTTTCTAAAGGACTCATGATGAGCGTTGAAAGTTGCATAGACTAACAACAACTCATTCACAACTAAAAGAAGTGAAAAAAAACGTAGACAGTTTAAAGAGTCATATTGCTTTATTCATCATACACAAAGCCAAAAAATAGTGAATCTTTTGCTCCACCGAAGATGATGGAGCCACTGAAAGGCTCTCATATCTCTGCATCAGGGTCTCGTGACTGCCGTTTCACGTGCCCAAACCACCTTACCTTAGCTTCCAACAATTTATCCTCCACAAAAGTCACTCCCAACCGTCCCCGGATAACCAAATAAGTAAATGAGTTTGTTACTCATCCATACCAAGTATCAACTCATATCTTACCTTTCTCTAGGATATTTAAGACAACTAATCAAAATTTATTTACTGAATATGGAAAATGGACAACTAATTCTGAAGAAACAAACATAAATAAGAAAATGAACTAATTCTAGGAGGGATTGAAACCTGAGAGACTTCCTTCTTGATGTTAGTGGCAGGGAAGTCCTTGGGAAGATCCCTTAATCTCTGTGCAAATGATGAAGAAGAAGAAGAAGATGATGATGATGAATGGGTGTCCGGAGATGGTTGGCCGCCTGCTGTGAAGAAAGGGCGGCCATGGCAGATTCTGCTGCTGGATATGGAAACTCCTCTCTTCCTCAAGTAGTTGCTTCTAATAGCAGCCGCCGCCATTGAATTGCAGAAAGCTGAGGAATCAATAATTCAAGATTGTGCAGAGTTCTTCTTCTTCTTCTTCTTCTTCTTCAGGAGGACATGGTTATTGTATTGTGCGGACTTTGATGGCAATCATTATTGTCTGAATATCATTTTTTTATTTTTTGGGGGATGAATGAAATTCAAACTTCGCAACATCACCCCCTGTCCGTTTGGTTTTTTGAAATTATTGCTCAGGCAGCTGAGATAAAAATAAATTATCCCCCCCCTCCCCCAAAAAAAAGGAAAAAAAAGAATGAGGCCACTCCGGCAGGATATGGTGGCAGATCATAAACTAAAACCTACAGGACCGTTTCTTTTTGAAACCGAAAAAACCGATTTTTTTTAACAGGTTGAAAATCGACCGAACCGAACTGATCATAAACTAAAACTGATCGAACCGAAACTGAATACCGCCCATTCAACAAAAAACCGACCGAAAAACCAAATTTTAATTACTTTTATTTTGAATTTTTAATATAAATTCAAGAAACTAATTCGGCAATGTAGATTAATATGTATTAAATTAGTTTAGATTAAGACTTTTCTATTTTCATTAATTTAGTAAGGTAGATTAATTTTTATTTGAATAGCACTTTTCTTATTAATATGTTCAAAACATTAACAAATATTTTTTGTTTAAAAGTGAAACATTAAAGTTTTTCATGAAAGAGTAAGAAGAAAGCATGTGTGTTAATCAGATAATTTCTTATTTTAAAAAATAAAAAATAAATTAAAATAAAATCATCGGTTATTCTATCGGTTCGGTTTTTTCTTACAATAAACCGAAAACCGACCAACAACAACAACCCAGGTGAATCCCACAACAGTAGGGTCTGGGGAGGGTGTGTGTACGCAGACCTTGCCCCTATTCGGAAGTAAAACCGAAAACCGACCAAAAAACCGAAAATGTTTTTTACATGAAAACCAAAACCGAAACCGATACCAAACTTTTGGTTATTTCGGTTTTCGGTTTTTTGGTTTCGCAGTCGATCCGGTTAATTTGCTCACCCTTACTCGTACGGGGGAAGTCACTCAAGACTTAAGAGACAGTAAAAAACAATAAAGTTACTTGAAAATCCAAAGGATGAGCCCTGAGACCCGATCGGACAGTCACTGAAAGATGATTGATGGGTATAACCCATTAGTACCACCCGAGAGGTTCACAAGCACCCGGGAGGTGCCGAAGTCTGGCCCCTCAAGACCAGGTCAAACCCAGTAGTCTGACCGAGCAGATGTTAGAGGCCAGAATTGAGAAATCACGACTTCATTCGTAGAAGGCACAAAGACTGGCCGGTTGAAGACTGTCCGGACAAATAACTTAAGATGGACAGTAGCAATGGGACGTGCTTGTTTATTCTTATCTTATAAATATGAGAAAAAGCCTCATTAAGAGGGCAGTTTTTAATAACACTTACGGCGAGGGTGCTACATAGACCATATCGGTCTACTTTAGAATTGACATCCACTTTCAATCCCACTTCCTTTCCTTGTTAGTTGGAACCCCCCAGCCCCCACGAAACATACATCCATGGAATAGTGAGAAGATCTTTTAAGCATTAGTTCATTTAGTTGTGACATCAAATGAAAATGATCCAGCTGACCTTCGTCTTTGAAGAAGTCAAACGTAGTCTAGAAAGAGGCTACAAAATAAGTTTATCACAGTGAAATGAATCTCGAGTGATTAAAAGAGTTGATTTGTATTCAATGAATGTTGTACCACTCAATGAGTTAATTATGTTCAATGAAAAAAATTGGACTATATTCAATAAATCTCTAGTCATTTCGTATTTTTTAAAAGCAACTTTACACCTTGTGACTTGACTAACAAGAAAGCACTTTTTAAACAGGTGCACATGAGCGCAGCTTCCTTTTCTATTTCCTTAGTTTTCCTATGTGAAACTAAATCACTACGTACATTAGTTTTACTATGTGAAACTAATTTTCCTGAGTCGTAGTTCAGTTTGTTGAATAAGAGGTGCAGAGAGGGTAAAATTGAACTTGATTTTTGACAACTACGAAAAACAATTATGCCAATTACTCTCTCCGTTCATTAATTTCTTTCTCATTTTCCTTTTGGGTTGTTCAAAAATTTCTTTCCCGTTTTATATTTCAGCAAAAAACTTTTAATGGATGTACCATTATATCTTCACATTTCATCTACACTATTACTTTACTACATCATATTAAGAGCGAACATGAAATTCTTTATATTTTTAAACTTTTATTAATCTTCATATCAAGTCAAAAGAGCAAAGAAATTGTTAGGGGGGAGTATAAGATTAAAAGTTAGTCTATAATTACTCCGTAAAAGTAACTACTCTTTATCACTTACCTCTTTATTACTTACCTGTACTGGTAATGGGCCTTGCACCTCTGAGTATTTTACATTTTTTTGGCCCTACACACCGGTGGAACGGCTCCGAGCCTCTCGATTTCGATTAACACTGCTATGGCCACTTTGGCATTCATCTGCCTGTTGCTTTTGGCTGGCACTCATGCGCCACGAAACCGCCATCTCGCCGATGGAGCGCATCGGAGGATCCACATTACCGACGATCTGGAAGATGTCGTCGACGACGAGGAAGATGATTCCTGGAGAGAATGGGGCGTGAAGAAGACGAGTCCACCCGAATTCGACCCGCCCCCCATGAATCTCATCGGTGATATGGATTCGTCTAGGATGCAAGAGGAAATGATGAAGCGCCATATCGGACCGGTCTTCGGATTCGCCAAGCTCCGCCTCGGCTCCCGCCGGACTCCGGTATGCAATTAATTTCATGATCTATTTAGTTCGTTATGAAGAAGCGGTTTCTATCAAATTGAATTAGGGTTTGTTAGAGAAGTTCAATGTCTGATCAAATAGCAATTAACAGGTTTCCTATTTTCAGCTTCACATAGCAGCAATAGTTAGCAGAACTGAGTAGCTTATTTTAATGGACTGAAATTCATGGCTATGCTTATAGAGTTAATTCATCTGGACTGAAATTTACTGAAACTAAGTGGATTCAAATAAAATTTAGTTGTAATTTTAACTGAAATGTTGAACAGACTTAAATGAAAGTAAGTCGAAAAGAATATTTTGAAGCATTCTTCAAAAGCGAAAATGTAGCTGATAAGCTTTTAAAACAAAAATAAGCAGAATAAAAACATGAACACAATCCTTCAAAAAAAAAACATAATTACAAAAAAGGTAGCAGGAAATGGGAATTCTTAGGACTGCCAAAAAGTTAACAAAAATGCCACTAATTGTAAGTAAATTTACAATTGAGATGGAATATTTTGACACCATTTATTAACTTGCACCATTTGACACCACTTAATTTGCAAATGGGAGACTTGGATATACGGAGTATGTGAGAAGGCTTAAGTTGAAATTATTAGTGAGATCGATAGTTCAAATTTAACGGTGCAAGTAAATAAATGGTGTCAAATATCATATCTCTTTGCAATTTGTTATCTATTTTGCGTTGATTAATTATTACTCCATCCATCCCTAAATAAATGTTATGGGTTAACTTTCATAGAGTTTACGTAAATGTGAAGTTTTATGGCGGGGTTTATGGAGATGAGAGAAAATATTGTGAATCACTCATTTCTTTTCTTAAATGGAATGGGTCATTTTTTTGGGACTTCTAAAAAAGGAAAAAAGGAGATTATTTAGGGACGGAAGGAGGATTGTATAGGCTGCATTCACTAGAAGGAAGTTAGTAATTGCTTGGCTCTGGTTGCACACATTCATTACTGTTACCACTTACCAGGAAATGGTTACTGAAATCGCAATGAAATGGTCCAAACTAGCAAGAACTGGGGCAATTGAGGCAAAGTTCATGGGTTTTGATGTGAGCACAATCATGTTCACAATGGAAAAGGGTCAAGACACTCTGGAGGTAAGTAAATACTCATTTCAGTCTCAAATGGCATTAAAATGTGTTGGTGATTGTGCAATTATGAATTTTTCTCTAGCACACTCTAATATAGTAGTAATATTCATGGCATGTAGGTTATGGTTGTGCAATTAATATTTGTTTCTGCACCTTACATAGGGAAAAAATATAGCAGAATCTTATTGGGGGTAAAAGTTGAACATATCCAACATGAGGTTCTGTTTTTTTATCTCACCATATGCGACATCACCATAAAGTAAAATTCAATGGAATTATAATTGTATCTCCAATAGTAAAGTTCCAACTTTGGTCTTGCACGCATTATCTTTTCCATTCTTTTCATTATGACTAGGCATCTAAATAAGACTTTAAGTAATAAAAAGAAGAAAAAACAATCAACAGCTGGGACATGTAAAGAGTGTGACAATCCCCTCCGGATTGCCACAATTTTGTAGAGAGTGAGACATGTAGTCAGAGTATTCTGAAGTGCTTGGTTGACTAGCAATTTAGAGTGGGTAGTTTGCTAGTATGAGAGCATACATGGCATTCTTGACTTGTAATTCATTGTTTTCGTTTTCACCTTATCATTCACTACCATTTATTTCACATTGGAATGCAAGCAGAACATGTGTGCTTGTAATGAAAAAAAGAATTACTAAGTCTATCTCATGCAGTTGAAGGAGTTCTTGTTGAGCCAACCCGAAGCATATGAGATTAAAATGGGAGACCAACTTTTTCGTAGGCCGGGTGACCCTCCATTCGAGGAAGTATTTGAGAAGTTCCAGCACGAGAAAGACAAAAAAGAGTCTACAAATGTGAAACCAGACAAGATGCACCAAGAGCTGTAATCACAACAAGCCATCTTTTCTTTATCCTCCATTGCACTTAATATAGTTACATATGGTCTACAGATTCAGAGAGTCAAAGAACAATGTTTGTTTATATTACAATGAAACTGATTAACGGTAACGATGTAAAGCCACATGCTAATTTCTTTCAACGATTTATAGTCATATGTATTTGCATTATGTTCAATAAATATACACCGGAGGAAAGCACAATAAAGTACCAGCATTGGCATGGGCAAAAATATACAACTTGAAATAATAGCACAGTGATATTGTGATTGTCATTTCAACTTGTTGCTAAAATCAGAGAGCTCGAGAAGGCGAATTCTAGCAATTGTCGCAGCTTCTTCCCTCTCTTTCGGAGTGTTGTAACCCCAACGCACTAGCCATCAAAAGAAAACAAAAATCCAAAAGCAATAACATGTGAAATTGAGAGAATTGGCATAACAATTGTGACCTAAGTTGGACAAAATTCCAAAAGCAATAACACGTGAACTACCAATTTTTTTCCACAATTTATTTAAAAAAATGTGTCTGCATGTTCCCAAGTACTGAAACTCAGATGTTTCAGGGTCAAGAAGAGACTTAATTGAGGAATCCGTGCAATATAGAGAAGAGGGACAAGGCGGTTATAAAGAATGGAAGTTGGAGAAGTTACCTAGATACAAATTCCATCCATCTAACTCAGGCTCTTCAATCACGTTCTTCAAGGTTGCAAGTCGATCTTCGACAAAGCTGGCAAAATTTAAAAGGGATTTCGTCCGTAAGATAAATCACCCATAAACTCTTTTTGTGGGCGGGAGAGTAAATCTTTGAACTGAAAAAGAAAAAGAGGAAAAGGGTGCATCTTAGCTATCTGCTAACAAAGAATCTTACTGTAGGGTTAGGCCCTTGTTTTCTGGCATTTCTTGAAGCTGTTTCAACACTTGTACTTTCGGCCTGATCCAAGAGATCGTAGGGTCATGCTACAGTCACACCACACATGACACCAAGGTTGACCCCATCAGACATGATCATGACGCATGATTTTCTCTGATGGTGTCAACCTTGTGTCATCTATGGGGTTAAAGTAGCATTTTCCAATTTTGATGTACACGCTCCAACAAAAAAACCACGAAATGAACTCACCCTGTCCCTAGACCGTAAATTCTATCAGGGGAAATAGTTACACCAGCAAGCTCACGAAGTAGTGCATCTGCAAAGCGGCTCTGAATTGGGAATGCAAGAAAGACATGTTGTGATGAAGGATATAGCTTGAGTTTACGATTCATATCAACTTATCAAGCAAGCCTTGATTGAGCTTCTCGTACGAGTTTTAAACAGACCTGTTTTGTGGTCACAATGTAGACCTTTGAGCTTGCAAACTTCAAAGCATCTGGTACTCCAGGATAAAACCTGCAGAAGAAATATTTATTAACACGAAGATCAGTAGCTTTTAAACATAATAATAATAATAATAATAATAATAATAATAATTATTATTATTATTATTATTACAACCAGGGGCGGATGCACATTGATCTTGTTGGGGGCATATGCCCCCTACTAATTTTTTGTAATAAGGTAAAAAAATATTTTTTTGAAAATTTTATGTATTTATGCCCCCCAAAATAATTAATGTGACCCCATCTAATAAGGTTAAATTTAATTTTTTGTTAAATTTTTTAGTAATATGTATTTTATTGCACATAATTAATTATTTATACAATGAAATGTTACATTATCTATTAATAAATATTTTACACTCAATAAATGTTTGAATTTTTTTTAATATTTTGTCATTTCATATTCTATATTAAAAAAATTTGGGGGCGCTGCCCTCGACCCCTGATCAATACCGCCCCCATCTATCTAAATATCTGGATCCACTGATTACAACAACAACAACAACAATAATAACAATAATACAACAACAATAATAATAACAATAATAACAATAATAATAATAATAATAACAATAATACAACAATAATAATAATAACAATAATAACAACAACAATAATAATAACAATAACAATAATAATAATAATAACAACAACAACAATAATAATAGCAGGTAAGATTTTTAACATTGGTTAATCGGTGATCAGGAAGGGAGGACATCAATTTTACCAGTGGAGCACCGTAGGTGCCAATGTCATTTATTTCAATGTCAAAAGAACCGTTGTGTAGTAAACTAGTAATAATAATAGTAATAATAGTAATAATAAGTCTAGTAGTAGTGATAATGAAGAAGATATTGTGAGAAACAAAGCTAATGTGCTTCCATATTTACATACACTTATTCAAGGAACAACATATACTGAGTGGGATATATTGAGTGTCTTTGATTTGATATAAATAATTGCTTTCCTATGTAGTTTGATTCCATGGGAATATAGTGAGTACTAGTAGGACACTTACCTGTTTGATCCAATCCAAGTACACATATCATTGTCCATCCACTCATCCCTAACCTTACCAAAAAGATCAATTAGGTCATCTCTGTTTTCGTTCCATTCTTCGATTACTACAGGCTTTATCGTCCTCCAATTTTCAAGTATATCATCCACTGTAAGCCCCTCTGCAACCTTGAACAATTAACAGCAAATATTATGGCCCATTACTATCAAGAAAAAAACTGAGCACAAAAAAGTCAACCAAGATTTCCAGATGGGATATCACTAATGTATCATAACATGCATTAAGCTAATAAGCTATTAGATAGTGCCTAAATACCAACCGATGACTTGCGAACGGAAGGAACTCTAATTTCCAACAGCAGCCTCACTAGCAATACATTTTCATAGCCAGTTTCAACAACAGGCCTAACCTGAAACATATTTCAATGTCAATTCTGCGTGAACTATATGGTTCACACTTCACACAAACACACATCAATTTTCCAAACAAAATTCTGAAAAAAGAAGAAGATAGTATCTCATATCAACCAAAATTGTTCATAAACAGTATGGTAGCACCATAATGGATATCAGTATAAGAAGAGCATGCTTAAAAAGTTTCGATAGAAAATCCAAAGTTATCTTTTCTGGTTACCATCAAATTACAACTACAGCTAATGCACAGCATAACACAGATCACATCTTTGGGCTGTAATAACATTATCCTATACGTCATCAGTCTCCCTAATTTATTATCCTACACACACCTTTCACTTTTCAACACTTTTTTTTAAAACTGCGTGAAGTCAAAGGGTAAATTTAGGATGGAGGAAGTACTTTCCGCGAGAAGGCAATATGACAGTGGATATACAGTTTTTTATCGCCATTCCAAGAACACAGCTCTTGAACAGTTTGTAAAATTCACTGTCCACTTGACCCATAAAATTTCAAATTGTGTTCAAGCAATTTGTAAAATCATTTGAATGTTGTACGATGCTTAGATTGATGTTTCAAACACTCTTCAGCTTCAAAAATCAAAACATCAATTCTATCTTAAGTAGCTTGCATAAAAATCTTGAAATACATTTACTGTATAGTGTATACTGTAAATGTTAAGGCCAAAAAAATAGGATAATTTGAAATATACAGCTCCCTACCCTAAGAAACTCTAGACTCTAGAGAATTATAGCACACGCGTGCATATCGTAATAGCAACAAATCCTTCCCTAGTTTCACCAAATGTAAATCACCTTAAAAAACTGCTAATCCAACCAGTAGACAGGTCCTAGACTGCACAGAAACTAAACCGAACAAATGCTTTAAGTGTCACTTGAGAGCAAGGTCCGGGGGCAAGACGCAACACAAAGTAGGAGTAGAAAATCCTTTTACAAGAAAAACCAAAGAGCCTTAATGATGAACACAACAAAAAATCAAGATTTTAAACACATTTTAACTGTTAATGAACCAACTGGACTACAAAATTTTGGTTAGAGATCCAAAAATGATCTACCGCTATATTTTAACATGCTCTTTCATGTACAGGAAGAATCTTCTTTTCATGAGCCTGTTGAACATTAATTTTTAAACCTGGGTGGGGTGAAATTTGAACACGTAACCGCTATATCTATATCCATCCCTAATTTTGAGTAGGGGCAAGGTCTGCATACACACGCCCTCCCCAGACCCTACTCTAGTGGTATTCAACTGGGTTGTTGTTGTTGTGACCTCTAGAATTATATCAAGGATTTGATGTCATGTTAGGAACCAATTCAACCAAAACCAATTTTGGTTATATTCTACAACAACTTCATTAATGGATACAACTTATATTGCTTCCATCCTCATAATATCCAAAACTGAATAATTGATATTTGGAACTTCAGAACAGCAGATTAAAAGCAACTTACAATGTGCATCTGATCAACAATCCATCCTTCCAACGAAGAATCTACAGTCTCGAATAGACTGGGCCATCTCACTTTGGCCGCCTATGGATAGAAGCCACGGTAAGAGATCAATTCCAATTAAGAAAGAGCATAAGCTTAAGAAAGATCATTTCGGAAGGGCGTCACTTGATCTACCGAAAATGGTTACAAAAAGACGAAGAAGAAAAAGAAGAAGAAATAACCGTATGACCTTAAGAGCAGATTGGGAGCTTTCTCCGCAACTATCACAAAGAACCCCGTCGAAATCCAGGGCATACAGATCCCCCATTTCCCTGCGCTTGTGACTCCGAAGGAGAATGGCATGTAAATAGAAGATCACACCTGTTTGTTTGAGAGGGATGCGAAACCCTTTTCTTTTAGACGGAATAGAGTTTAATGATTTACTAAATGTTCACAGGTGCCCCCTCCCCTCTGCTTCTAAAACTTACTTCATCCCCCCACTAATTCTAAAATCCTACTCCATTGCCCCCTCCGTTTCTAAATCCGTAAATTTTAACGGAGCGTGAAGGAAACGCATTTGATATGCGTTTGGTAGAGTATTTTCTCAGCTTTATTGCACCATTCCCCCCTGTGGTTTGCTAAATGTTCACAGGTGCCCCTCTGGTTCAAAAAATTACTCCAT